GTTTAGGGAGCAATGTCCCATGACTAATCTGGGGCCAATGTATGTGTGTTGTTTCTCAATATGAATTTTCTGTCAATTAAGACTGTAGAGAGAAAATTTGGGTATTCTTTCTGCTTTCTATCACTTTCTGCACAGTTGCCTTTATCTAGGAGCAAGTGGCACAATGTGTGTGGTGGAGGCAACAGAGTTGTTCAATGTGATAGGGGGAGGGAACAGAATTGTACAATGTCGTAGGGGGAGGGAACAGAATTGTACAATGTTGGTGGTGGAGTGAACAGAGTTGTACAATGTGGGATGTGGAGGAACAGAGTTGTACAATGTGGGATGTGGAGGAACAGAGTTGTACAATGTGGGATGTGGAGGAACAGAGTTGTACAATGTGGGAGGTGGAGGGAACAGAGTTGTACAATGTGGGAGGTGGAGGAACAGAGTTGTACAATGTGGGAGGTGGAGGAACAGAGTTGTACAATGTGGGAGGTGCAGGGAACAGAGTTGTACAATGTGGGAGGTGGAGGAACAGAGTTGTACAATGTGGGAGGTGCAGGGAACAGAGTTGTACAATGTGGGAGGTGGAGGAACAGAGTTGTACAATGTGGGAGGTGGAGGGAACAGAGTTGTACAATGTGGGAGGTGGAGGAACAGAGTTGTACAATGTGGGAGGTGGAGGAACAGAGTTGTACAATGTGGGAGGTAGAGGAACAGAGTTGTACAATGTGGGAGGTGGAGGGAACAGAGTTGTACAATGTGGGAGGTGGAGGAACAGAGTTGTACAATGTGGGAGGTGGAGGAACAGAGTTGTACAATGTGGAGGGAACAGAGTTGTACAATGTGGAGGGAACAGAGTTGTACAATGTGGGAGGTGCAGGGAACAGAGTCGACAATGTGGGATGTGGAGGGAACAGAATTGTACAGTGTGGGAGGTGGAGGAACAGAGTTGTACAATGTGGGAGGTGCAGGGAACAGAGTTGTACAATGTGGGATGTGGAGGGAACAGAATTGTACAGTGTGGGAGGTGGAGGAACAGAGTTGTACAATGTGGGAGGTGCAGGGAACAGAGTTGTACAATGTGGGATGTGGAGGGAACAGAGTTGTACAATGTGGGGATGTGGAGGAACAGAGTTGTACAATGTGGGGATGTGGAGGAACAGAGTTGTACAATGTGGGAGATGGAGGAACATAGTTGTACAATGTGGGAGGTGCAGGGAACAGAGTTGTACAATGTGGGAGGTGCAGGGAACAGAGTTGTACAATGTGGGAGTTGGAAGGAACAGAGTTGTACAATGTGGGAGGTGGAAGGAACAGAGTTGTACAATGTGGGAGGTGGAAGGAACAGAGTTGTACAATGTGGGAGGTGGAGGGAACAGAGTTGTACAATGTGGGAGGTGGAAGGAACAGAGTTGTACAATGTGGGAGGTAGAGGGAACAGAATATACCTCCATTGTAACTCATCTTTATAAGTGCCCCTACAAAGACCAAAGAGTTACGTGACGGTCCATATTGTCTTATGTAAATTACATATTTTTTCCATAAAACAGCAGTGAACAAAGGGTATGTAATTGCTGTACAACTGTTAAAAAGGCTGCTTGATGTCTCAAAACAAATTCAACTCTTTGTGGATTGTAGTAAAAAGCGCTCCCCCTTTGTCAATTTTCTAAGCCCCCAGTGTGTTTATTACAGGTAATACAGTAGTCTGCACATGTTTACAAAGTGTAGCTTAATGTGCTAAGTCCATAAGGACTTGTGTACAGGAAGCGCACAGATAGATACTATAGTAAATGGGTTGTTGATAAAATACACCAAGATAAGAGAAGGATTACCTGCTGAGGCAAGTGCCAGAAAATGGATAGAAGGATAGTGTAAGAATCCCCCAATGAGATGTAGGAGCACTAGCACTGGACTATGATGAATGAAGAGTATGAACATGGACTTTCTCTTCAATGTGATGGGCAAGACCAGCATTAGTTCAGACACTCCGTTATCGCATGCTATTTTCCTCACGCCAAGCTATATATATGTTTTCAAATCACATGTACCGGTATCTGCCCAATTACATTGGAGTGTGACGGACTGGAATCTTTCACACCTGAGGATAGAGAGAGAGAGATTATTTTTTGCTTTTGTTTAGAAACATTTGGTCTATGTTTCAGTGGTATGTTTATCGTTATCGAAACGGATGCGTTTGATCAAGAATGATGGTGAATGTTGGTTGTCTTGTTTGATGGGTTAACGATAGAAGCTGGTCTGCACAAAAAGTTTTTAAATAAGATGGATATTTGGAAATGTGTGGTTTGCATTCTATTTTGCTTGGAACGTTTATTTTTATTTATATGTTTGATGTAAACTTTGCCATATAGATGTAAGGTAATCATTATTTATTAGTTGTATTTAAAATTTGTTGTATCTTTATAACATATGGTTGTATTTAGCATGTGTTTGTGTGCATATGTTTCCCACAGATCAATGTGCATGTATGGTTTAAGTGTCAAGTTAGATAACACTTAGGGCTGGGATGAGTCCAAATTTACAACCAGGGTACCCACCCCCTATTACCCGACCCAATCTGGGTACCCACTGTAGGTCTCAAGAGTTGGGTACATAGTGTCTGATTGGGAATTGCTTTACCAGAGCCCTACCAAATGCTATGTACATACGCATATAAAATATAAGTATGAAAGTCAGAAAGAATTCATGCATAGTCAGAAAGAAATGCAAACATAAACAACTTTTATTGTTATTATATATTTATCAACAATATATCATGTGACTAAGATGGGTCTGGGAAGTCCTGTGGGTACCCGGGGCCTACTTAGGACCTACCCGACCCGAGTACCTGAGTTACTGCTCAGCCCTAGTAACACTACTGATAGACGACTTATGCAGCACGACTCAACACCAGGTAGGGTTGGTTCCAAGCCCCGATGTTATTATGCTTGTCAATAGATCAGTTTGTATTACAATTGCTTCTCAGCTCATTGGGGCGTATGAAAGTGACCTTTCAGTAATCAACAAATTGATTTACATGAAATGCTGTTTCAGTACTGATGTATGTATCGATCTGAAGGTGTTTCAGTATTAATAGAGAGGTATTTGTCAGCACTGTTATCACAGATTTTGCCCACTGTTGGGATTCTGGTTTAGAATATGCCCCAAACTATCTATCCTTGACATACGAGGTGATTAGGTGGATTGGAGGGTCCCACTCGGTGACTTGGTTAATTGTGTGTCATCATACTGCCTGGGACGCTGCTGATTATATCAATCATTGGTTTGTCTGGTACAGACTAGATTATTGACAGGCCACCATCATATAGGCATTATGCAACAGAGAATAACATCTCAAGATCTTGATTTTGTTCAGTTGGACCAAATGAGAGTTAGCATTGAATAAATCAGATTGATGAGAATTGAATTATCTGTTCAAGTGATCTTGAATGAACTTATAGTATGTATTATTGCAATACCAAATAAAAGTCCCCATACCGATCTGTGTATAGACTCATGTTCAATGTTCAGACTGTTGATAATGTTGAATGGTATTTACAGTGTCAATGTCAGATAAGCAACACACGTTTTAGTAACTCTCCATTGCCTAAGGTCCCATTAGTCACTGTGCAGAGTCGCCTCCCTTAGAAGGCTGGTTCTTGTGGATTCGAAATTCCAGATTCTACCCTTTAATATCCTTTTTCTGTCAACACTGTACTCCCATTCATTGGTTTCGATGACATACGGAATGTCCACAACCTGGTCGCTTGGGCTATCCCACACCTGAGGCTGTCACATTAACTGAAACACGTACTGATGACACATACATTAACTGCAGCAGTACACTTGATGCATTCCGTTCCCCATGAGAATCAGGTTGTTACTTATAGCCAACGAATACAACCTTGATGACTCAGTGTATTTTATCTCCATTCTATTATGATAAATACTTCAACCCATTAACATCATAGCTTTGTTTTCATCCACGTCAAATGACACGATGCTGAAAGTAGATTTCCATTCAAATCATATTGTCCTTTTATTGTCCTTTAAATAGCGGTGGTAGAAAAAGTAGCGTCACTACACAACTGGCCTTGTTGTCTATAGTCTCAGTTAAAACTTGGAACTTGGTCTGTGTTAACAGTTAAAAACATATCTTTTCCAGGTAAACACTCATTTATACAGTCTTATCACAGTAGAATATAGACACACTGGATGATTGAGGTCAGTAATGTAAATGTTGAGAATCATTAGCAAAAGGTAAATTTCACACATACAATATGGAATGTCATTAAAACAATCTGTAATAGTTTTGCAATCTGTATATTTGGTATCACTGATGAATGAAGAAATATGTGGAATGTGATGAGCACAAAAGCCAGACTGTGAGATGTAGTGAGGCGGATAGCATCCTGAAATACTCCTACGCTACGTGGCAGCTAATTGGACTTCAAAAAGAAAAAAATCAATAATCCAGGCAACTGTTTAAATTAGGAAGAACTTCAAATGTCACATGTGTATGATATCTTACTGATATTGATGTAGAAAAAATTCAAAATACTGAAAGCTTTAGAAACTAAAACTCATCTTCAATGGCTAAAATTTATTTTAAGCCCTAAATATAAAGAAGTTATTTTCATGTAGTTACTGAAATAAAAGATGGAAATATTTTTGCATCCAGCTCAAAACATTTGACAGAAATATTGGAGTGCAGGTTTGTTTGCTGTCATCCTGGGACACAGAAGGTTACATATCTGGTAAATGTGTTACCCGGCCATTACAAGTATCTAATTTGTCATGACAGTGGCGTGCAAATAACACATACAATTTTGGAGAATAAGATCCACAAAAGCTGCTACCAAAATAGATTCCTTCAACAGGTAGAAATGCTTCTCTCTGGAAGGTAGGCAAAATGTCTTAGCTGATGCAAGCAAGAGGATTGTGTTTCCAAGGTATACATGAGGATATTTTTGGCCCCATGCTGAACATTGCATGAGGGGAGATTTCTCTTGCTGTCTATTTTTCGCAATCCTTTGCTCCTTTCCAGTAACCATCACAGCAAGCACTAGAAACATGTGCTGGTAATTGGATGCCAAGTAATAGTCTGTGGGAGATTCGACTGCATCTTTATCACAACAAATTGTAGGTCTCTGTGGACAGTTTTGACTTGGCTGTGCAGCTGGTTGTCACTGGAGTGGTAACTGGTGAGGAAGGAGAGGAGAGCTGAGACAAAGACTGTGGTGCTTGGTGGTGGTGGTTGTGTTTCATGCAGGAATTACTTGGTGCTTGTGGATTAAGTACCACTGTATCTGGGAACATGCCAGCTCTCACCTTATCAATGGAACACCGGGCAGAGGAGACTTGTAAGTAGGGATTCTTAACAAGAGAATTCTTCCATCTTGTTCGTGAGCAGGTTTTGGCAGTGGTATTCCTTGGAGGATCATTGGATCATTGGGTAACGTGTGCTGTGTGACAGGTGACTGTTGTATGTGTATATTATTTTAAGAGATGATTGTGTGACCTTAATGCTATTGATTCCTATGAAATTAATAACGAATAATATCAGTTCATGTTTTACTATAACAAACACTTGTGACTGTGAGTGCATGGGTAATAGGGTATGGAACCCGTTTATTAGTTCAAGTTGGATATACAGATATTTTCAATTTGTTTCATCATCAATTGAAGGCCTAAATATAGCTTCAAGTTTGACATTGTATCTATTTCTGTTTCTGGCATGTACTTGTGAGATTCCAGGAGGATGGTTTGTTAGTTATCACCTCCTGTTTTGCTCTCTGGGCATCACTAGTGATTGGGTGGCCGCTATAGACAAGAGGGAGGGATTTTTGGATTGTTGACCTTCTGAGAAGACTTTTTGTGTAACGGTGTACCCAAAAGGCTGTGATTCCTGCTCACTGCTCACTGCTCACTATCAACCATGTGACTTCCTGTCTGCGTACAAGTTGCTATAAAGATATTGTGGAAGATGTACTGAGGACACCCCATACTACACAAAGTTCAAAACTTCATAAATATTTCAATAATGAATTTTAATTATGTTTTTAGAGGAAATCAATCATATAATTTTACACTTGATTTCAAACACAAAACAAATGTTGCTGTTAACATATTGAGATGTTTACTCTGACATGATACGTCTCTTTGTGAACACCTCTGAGGACACCTACATAGGAGGTCAGGTTAGGTCAGGTCAGGTCAACTTTCTAGTCAGCCAATCAGCATCGAGGCTTCCAATTCTCTGTATGAGTGAGCAAAGCGTTCATACATGCACATCTGATTTTCTGTATTTCAAAGATGAATATGATCACGAAGTTCTAAATGAAAAAGTAGAAAACTGCTATAATATTCTTATTGATATTTTATAAATGTTGCTGTTTCTGAGCGTGATGGCATTTACACTCAATAGGGTGTACTATTGGGGACATATTTGTATTTCAATTTCCAAAATGAGGTGGTAAAGAAATGAAGCTGTATCGTACCAGAAAGCTAACATCTGCTTGGCTCAAGGACACCATCCTTCATTTAGTTGAGTGAGTTTGCTGGTGGTTCACCTGACATGACCTTCACTGGAGATGCCATCAGAGTGTAACATAGAGAGGTATCCTACAGTAAAACATAGGAAATAAGAGGCATTCACACTGCTGTTGAAACTGTTGATGCAAACAAGTCGCTTCTATAGATGACTGATGACAATATTATGTGACTACAGGCCCATACTTCAATTTATGTCTTGATATTATGTTTTGTTCAGCTTGTTTTAAGGTAATCCTACCCAACCCTATCACTCATTCTTCAACTTAAACTCACTTGAGCTAGTCACTTGGCCAATACACTCAGTGATGAAGTTAACTATTCAATACTGCTGCTGTTGTGCCAGGCACATGAACATCAGTGATACTCTGCCCACATGCTCATGGGCTTTCTTTCCCCCATGTTGTGATGTAACCCCGCAGTCTGCAATATTCCAGCTATATAACAGCCTGTAGACAATCAAATATACTACTAAAAATTGTTGAGGACCACCCCAGTCTTTCCTGTAACTATGGTTAAGCTATCATGGCATGACTCAGGTGGTCCTAAAATTTTTTTGAGTAGTATATATGATGGGCAAACCAGTGGTCAATAGCATGAGCAAGAATTGTAGCAAGATGATACAGGTTGTCGCACATTGTCCTCCCAGTCCCCTGTTTACCTGTATCGGGGACCTATCCTGCTCCATCATTCCCACAGGTTATTCCTAATAACTACTGGCGCCATGAGGGATTGACCATTTGATAGAATTGCAAAAAGAAGAAGAAATTGTCTGTCACAAAAAATACATTATTTCAGGCTCACAGTTTTATATAAAAAAATATCTGGTTTGAAAAATGTAGTGTAAAATAGCTGTCAGTCAAGTACTGCTTTCATAACAACATAAGTAGACATTCAAGAGTTGTTGGGTAGCCTTGTAGAAGGCTCAGGTTTGATTCCCCACACTGGTAAAATGAGTGAAGCACATTTCTTGTGATATTGCTTGAACATTCCTTAAATTCCTTAAAATGATACTCACTATAGCTGGTTCTGGATTTTTTTGATGTCTGACATTTAAGAAAGAGTCAGTTTGAAAGTGTATTGCCATATCTCTAGCCATTGACTGTAGTCGGTGTCATCACTGATGAAGTATTGACCACATGCGGACCCTGCTTTATATTCTGTAACCCCGTGATTTATTGAGCCAACAGATCAAGGGAATGTGTGATTATAAAGACTTGATCATCTCCATGATGGACAAGACTTTCCGGTGAAGTCTGGCCACCGATACGCAGCAAATGAACACTGCAGAATGAAAATGGCTTCCTGCAAAGTGCACGATCAATACTGAACAAGACCTATTTTAGAACGATTACAGCAAAACCACTATCTCAAGATGATTATACTCCATCAGGGCTGGTAGACTAGGAAGAAGGGCCTTGATAGAGGATTTCTGCAAATTCGCAATCTGAAGATGTTTATCCACCATCAGGGCTGGTAGACTGGGAAGAAGGGCCTTAATTGAGGATTGTGCAAAGCCATTAGCTTTCTCAAGATGTTTATTCTCTCTTAGGGCTGGAGGGAAGGAAGAAATGTTTCCATTAGGTATATCTTCAAATCACAATCTGTAGTTGTTAATCCCCCATCAGGGCTCAGTAGGCTAGGATGAAGGCTTGATGGGGCTTTTCAGCAAACCACAATCTTGGGTTTATTCTCTGTCAGGGCTGGTAGACAAGAAAGAAGGGTTTGATTAGGGATTTCAGCAATCCGAAATCCCAAAAGTGTCTAGTAATAGCTATGTAATGAAGGCAAGATCTTGATGAGATGTTTTAAGCTGGGTAACTTGTTATTAAAACCAGATAATCTCTCTGAATCAATGACCTAATAATACTTGAATGATCCATAACCATCTTGATTGAGTACAAGTAAGGACTGATAATGGTCCTTGAGTGTTGGTCGAATGATCATAAACTGACTGCTCTTGATAACACTTCACGTTGTGATGTTGGTGTCTAACTTATAGCTGTAAATGACTCATTAATGACAGTCAGTTATTGTGAGGCACATATTTGTCATCCACAAAGTATTATTTAACCATTATGTTCCCCCCCAAACAGATCATGTTCATTGGACAATAATATTCTTGAAAACAACTGCTTATGATGTACAACTTTCCGAAATATAGGACTTGCTTGAATAGGATCATAATCCTCATTTAGGGCTGTTGATTAAGAAAGACGATGTTAGTGATGGATATCCATCATGTCATGCAGCTGTAGGACATGGAGCAGTGCAGGTCAGATATTGAGTAGCATCTGGGTTTTGTTGGATGGTCATTCGTTGAAGGTAGTGAGTGAATGTTGTTTTATGGGCCAGGTTAACCAGTGGTTGATAGCTCGAGCAATGGGCCACTCCATAAGGTGTGATGGCGGGCCGTCAGCCAAGTCACACATTGTACCCTTTTGCTGGTCCATTATACTTACCTAACTTTGTCACTGTAGTAGGAATATCAAGTGTATTGCATCAGGAATTATGACTTCTGTTTGATTGGCATTCTTGGAGAGTAATAAGAAAACGTACAACTTAATGAACTCATTCCTGCTGGAGAACGGTGTAAGAATTCACATCGAAACATCGCTAATGCAATAAACCAGAAGTTGCTGTCTATAAAGTTGTACATTTTCTTAACTATTATATCAGTTTAACTATTATATCAGTTCAATACAAGTCATGCGTTATATGTGGTTCATCCAAAGACAAAGTATATTAATGTGAAACATTACTTCTTTTCTCTGCACTAGTTCAATTCTAGACTTGTACATCATACTATAAATATCTTTTTGCAATAAGTAAATCAAGCATATTCCAGTTTATAGATATATCCCTTGTACTAGTGAGATTTGAAATGAAAGTCTTAAATTCATATCTAAAGGGGTAGTGGCAGGCAAAAGATGTGGTATAATACTTAAAACTTAAAAATATCTGGCACTGACGCCATAAAGACAGAACTACAATATAGAATTTATTCTTAGAAAGTATAGGAAAACAAGTAGCATAGTGCCTGTGTTGATTATTCAACCCCACCCATGCCTTGATGAGAATAAGGTAATATTGATTAGCTGATGTGTCTTTATGTCATTTATTACAAACCAGTGGTAGAAGCTCTTCTTAGTGGTATAGGAGCTGGATCCTGAAGCAGATGTAGCATACAAGCACCTGGAATGAAAACACACGACTCAGCGAGAGCAATTCTATTTTTGGCAATGGATTTTTCCCCGTGAGTATACTGTTGAAGCGCACTAGATGGCAGTCTGTCCCACAGTATGCATCATGTAGGTATTTGGACCTGACTTTGGCTGCAGGTGTTGGAAACATTTTCTGGATGAAATGCTAAAGGCTGAAACATTCGGAATTCATATCTCACAGAAATGTTTTGGGTTTTGAACAAACATTTATTATTTCTCAAAAGCAAAAGAATAGTGGTGATTTTTGTCATGTTAATGCAGTAACTTGAATAACTGAAATTAAGTTTCAAATTTATTTTGTATAAAGGATAAGGAGATAAGGATTATTCAAATTTGCTCGAACTGTAATGAAAATTGGTATATTATAGACTCATGTGTATTTCATTTTTGGATATATGTTGTACTTCTAAATTTTCTCAAAATGCATTTTCTCCCACTGTAAACATCATTTACTCCATCCACAACACAGACGTTGACCAATGAAGCTGAACCTTCACATGCTTGTTCCAACAAATGATGACCTCTAAATTTGTTCAAGAGGTTCGAATCTAATTTTCGGAATAGCTCATTAGCTTTAGCACCGTTAT